AAGTGACTCTCCCACAGCTCCCTTATTTGCCAAAATAATTAAATTTGTTAACAAATGTAAAATATAGAATTGCAAATACTGAACAGTCTCAGCTGCCTTGGCTTGGTTTGTTCATTAATATTAACCATTCTTTCTTATATAACTGTAAGAGTAATTTTCTTTTAAATGTATATTGTGAGCAGAGTAAACAAGGACTTTGCTTATGGTACATTGTTTAAAACCAGTTTCACCCTTATTTTTAAAAAATATTATCAAAAAGCATTATTGATTATGAACTATACTAAGATAATTTACATAAATCCAGCCATAATTTAAAAAAAATTAAAAAAATTTTAGTTGTAGTTGGACACAATATCTTTATTTTATTTATTTATTTTTATATGGTGCTGAGGTTTGAACTCAGTGCCTCATGCGTGCGAGGCAAGCGTTCTACTATTGAGCCACAACTCCAGCCCTCCAGCCGTGATTTTTTAAGAAATACTTTTTTAATTGTAGGTGGACACAATGCCTTTATTTTTATTTATTTATTTTTATGTGGTGCTGAGGATCTAACCCAGTGCCTCACCCACACTAGGCTCTACCACTGAGCCACAACCCCAACCTACCCAGCAGCCAGGATTTATAATGAAAGGTTTACTTTACAGTTTGAAGTTGCACAGTGAAGATTCAATAATAACTATGAAAGTTTTCTGTGACGTGCAGCCACACAAATGTATGGTATTGTTATTTATCCATTTTTGGGTAGATCTGATAATATAAAAAATATAGAAAATGACATGTAGATAGGAGAAAATTGGGGAAGTAGTTCTAATAAGTATAGAAGTAGTTCTAATAAGCATAATCAGCTTTCAGCCAGGCAAAAAGGACCCACAAATGCTCAGGTTATTAACCGGTACTCACCAACTACTTGGTCATGATGTGTCTAATGAGACTGAGCTCTAATGGCTCAAGGAACTCTGAGTCAAATTATGAAGTTATATTAAAATGTTTCTCTACTTTTCTTCAATTATTTAGATCCAATCTAATTTTCCTTCAGCATTAAAGTCTGGGGCTCAAGCTAATTTATGTGACTGAACATTTAAAAATAGATGTCCTTCCTACCTGACTATAACATTGCTGAGAAAGAGCACAGTACGTTTCCACAGCGCTGTCTTAAACACAACCATTTTTCTAAACTTGTTAAGATAATATGCAATGGAAAGAACATAGCTGGAAATTTGTCCCTGAATACTAAGACTTAAAGAGCCTCCAAATTAACTTCTTTCCCAATCTCCTGCTTTTTTCCTCTCTGAAACTTTCTTCAGCAGCTGCTGAAAACTCTCCTCCACCTTTACCTAAACCCCTTGGCATTCGGAACCAGACAAAGGAAAAGCCGAAGGTCAAAGTCTGAGAGGATGAAGCATTTAGGAGTAACAATACATGTTCCGCTTCATGGATAATTATTACAAAACTGTCCCTAAACCTGGATGTCAGGGGCCATTCAAGCAATAACCCTTCTGGGATCTATACCCCAGGGACTTATTTCACTTGACTGCAGAACCTGGATATCACTGCATTGTTCAGAAACCAGGAACAACTGGTTATAAAAGGGATACATTGGGGATCAGTTGCTGCTCCTCACAGCCAGGTGCCATGGACTTATAGCTATCATCAGCCTACGTACCATATAGCTGCCTTCTCCCTTTCCTTCACCTACAAGTGTTTTCTCTCTATCCCTTTCATCTTTTCTTTCTGTCTTTATTTTTCTATATAAATTCACCTTTCTTTTGAGGTCGCAGGTACACATCTTTTACCCTGGCCAGGGGTGGGGTAGTGTGGAGTGGGGTGGAAACCATATTTTAATATAACCAACACTTTTGGATTTACCAGCTTATCATTGGCAATCACCAATTTACAGTAGTTTTGAGTATTTCAGGTGGTGTGATGTTTCCTTCAAGGTGTAGGAGTTGGTCTCATTTGAAGGGACAGTATACACAATTTAATTCTTGAATATCTGCACTGCTATAGCATGCATTTATTTCTCAATTATCTCTACAAGAAGCATAAACTGAATGAATAATTTGAAAATATATGGCACTGGAATGTGCAATATTATTTTTTTTCCCTCAGAAGCTTATTTTACTAATTACCCTTAGTTTGGACTTATATTTAAATAAATATTTCTCTAGAGTACAGAACAAACTGCTAGTAAGGAGAGGTGATCTTGAAATAGTTGGGACATGAAAAGAAACCAAAGGTTGCCCTTCTCGGACTATTCCCTGAGGACCTTAAAAGAGCGCACTATAGGGATACGGCCACATCAATGATTATAGCAGCACAATTCACAATAGCTAGACTGTGGAACCAACCTAGATGCCCTTCAATTGATGAATGGATAAAAAAAATGTGGCATCTATACACAATGGAGTATTATGCAGCACTAAGAAATGACAAAATCATAGAATTTGGAGGGAAATGGATGGCATTAGAGCAGATTATGCTAAGTGAAGTTAGCCAAGCCCTAAAAAACAAATGCCAAATGTCTTCTTTGATATAAAGAGAACCGATAAGAACAGAACAGGAAGGAAGAGCATGAGGAAAAGACCAATAGTAAACAAGACGAATGGGGGGAGAGAAAGGGAGAGAGAAGGGAAAGCATATGGAAATGGTAGGAGACCTTCAATGATACACAAAATTATAAGAGGTTATGAGGGGCAAGGGGGAGGGGAAAAAAGGGAGAGAAGTGAACAACAGCAGAGGAGGTAGAGAGGGAAGATGGGAGGGGAGGGGAGGGGAGGAGAGGGGGGATAGTAGGGGATAGGAAAGGTAGCAGAATACAACAGTCACTCATATGCCATTATGTAAAAATGTGAGTATGTAACAGATGTGATTCTGCAATCTGTATTTGGGGTGAAAATGGGAGTTCAAAACCCAACTGAGTCAAATATATGAAAGATGATATATCATGAGCTCTGTAACGTTTTGAACAACCAAAAAAAAAAAAAAGAAAAGAAACCAAAGGAAGGAAAATGAAAAATTTTCAGATATAGGACACTCAACATTTAGTCAATCATTTATTTCTACCTCGCCATAGTCTGAAAATGATTTTGAGGAAGAACAATGGCTATGGTTCCAAAAACAGAACCTATGCCTTTTGAGGCCCAAATATAAAATCCAGCTTTTTGCCCAGTATAGCATTTTGCTGTCTCATAATAACAACAATAGTAATCATTCATAGCTGGCCACTGTATGTCAAGTTCTATGCTAAATGCTTAGCATGGTTTATTTCATTTAATCCTCAAGTTACGTGCCATCCTCATTTTTCAGATGAGGCTCAGAGAGGTTAACTATATTCCCCAAAGTCACATAGCTCGTACATAGCAGAAACATCCCTTAAGTTCAGCTTTTGAGGCTCTGACATCTGTGTTCCTATAATCTTCTCCCAACTGCTTCTGATTTTGTTGACAATTTGTGGATGTGGTAATGACTGTTTTCTAGAAAAAAACACCTGGGCATTTTTAAGGTCTAAAGCACTAAGCTCAATGTGAAGGAACCAGGCCTCATTAATGTCAGATTAACCCACTGAGAAAAGGATTGTACTCATTTTACCAGGACAGCTATGAGAAAACAAATATCACCTTAAAGGGTTTGATGCTTGCCCAGATACACTGGATACAAGTATAAAATCTTGAGATATCTTCATATCCACATGGACTTAGCTTGACCCAAAGGACCTGGCTGACCTCCTCGCTCGGAGATGTATCTTCCCCATTGCCAGTGCATTCCTTGCTTTGTGTAGCCCCCTGATCAAAGATCCCTCAAATGTCTTCAATCAGCCAGGTGCTGCACTTCCCCAGTGCCCAAGGATGGGAAGCAGCCCTCCTAGGGCCTTGCACCTCACCCTACTCCCTGGCTCAGCTTTCCAGGTGGTAGCTGTCTTGTCTTCCCACTTCAATGTCCTGGATTTAGCTGCTCTTGGCTCCCTGTTTACCATTTCTGAGGACTTAATTCCACCCACATTGACCCCATCTAGGACCTTTGGTGCAATATCAGATTAAGTGAGCCGTCTCTCTCTGTGTCTCAGTACTGTCAGAGGCAAAGATCCATAACTATTAGGTTTTAATTCATAGCCGCTAATATCAATGCTTTCTATAGGAAAGTTTCACCCCCTAACTTTAAATGAATTTTTTAGAGGATCCATCTATATATAAAATATAAAAATTATACATATTAATGGAAAAAATTAATAATGATATATTAATTTATTATGTAATATGTAACGTATACCTGTTGTGATGTTTAAATCAGGTTACAAATCTCTCTTCCAATATTTATTATTTATTTATAACAAAAACTTTCAAAATCCTTTCTTCTGAATTTTTGAAATGTAAAGCACATTGTTGTCATCTATCGTCACCCTACTGTGCAACAGCACTCCAGAACCTCTCACTCCTATCCATCTGCTGTTTAGAATCCACTGAACGACCTTTCTCCATCCCTCCTTCATCCCCACTCTCCCTGGTAACCACCATTCTACCCTCAATTTCTATGAGATCAAGTTTTTAATACTTCACAAAGGTGTAACATTATGCAGTACTTGTTGGTCTTTCTGTGCCTGACTTATTTCAACTCAACCTAATGATCTCCAGTTCCATCCATGTTGTAGCAAATGACAGGATTTTATTTTTTATGACTAAGTAGTATTCCATGGTGTATATGTACCACATTTTCTTTATTGGCAAAGCTTTTGGTAGTTACTCAATATTATTAGAGTCAATTATATGCAGTTTTGTTTTTAATGAGGGAGAAAATATGACCTACAGTAACATGAATCTTCCTAAGCACGTATTCCCCAGCCTTGTAGAAATTACTTTGCAGAAACAATGCACAGTTTCTAAATCATGTCAGTTCAAATGACTACCTTTCCAAGAAGGGTCTTAATGCTTGAGTTGAGTTATGCTATTTAAAATTGTTTTCAGTCTAACACTGGCATAACTAATTGCTTTTTAAATATACTTGTTAAACCATCAAGAATAATGTTGACTGTATTTATGTGGGCAGACTGCTGTCATTAAGAAACAAGGTTGGCATTTTTCTCTCTAACCTTGAACTTGATGGTTTTAATATCCAAGCTATTAAGTTTATACCAGCAAGAATTCTAGCAGATAAATCTTTTGTCAAAGCAATGTAAGCAAACAACAAACATAAAGAAGAGGGTAAAACATTTAGTTTTCAGATAACACACTCTCTAAGGACTGTCTTCTATTTTGTGGTTCTGCACAAGGTTGTTTGAAACCGAAAATGCTGTCTGAGGCTGGCTTTTTGAGCAGTTAGCTTCTGAATTCAGCCCTGAAGTGAAGGCTTCAACTTCAAATATGGCATTGATGAATTATTGAAGAAATTGCAGGTAAAAAATTTTAAATTCTCTTTTGTTCTTTCTATTTGAGAGATCAAGAGTAATTCCTTTAGTGTTTAAAACAAAACTGACTTTGTTTCATTTAAAAATATTGCTTTGGTCTTCTTCCCACCACAAAAATCCAAGGGCTCTATAAACATTCATCTTTTGTTCAGCAAATGTTTACGGGCCATTCACTTCTTCTACGTACTGTTCTCTGCACTAGGGATGACAGTGACCATATAGCAGAAAGACACATTTCTGCAAGTTTCTCTGTATCATTTTGTTGAGAATTTACATGGGGAAATTCTGGCTGAGACTCAAATAAATGTCTTGGAGGATTTGTAAACAATAAAGGCAGAGAGTCTTTTTTCTTCTTTAATATGTATTACAGATCTTATTTGAAGATATTTTCCCCTTTCTCTCTGGTAAAATAGACAATGGAGCCTATGAGATTTTCAGAGAACTTGAAAGAAAGTAAAAGTCTGACACAAAGTAAAAGTACCAGGCAAGGCTGGAACTATTGATGACAAACGGTGTGTTATTTGTGGTAGAGGAAATGTACTATTTCTCTCCCTCTGGTAAGATGTGCATTTATGAGAGCATTTATGAAATAATTTGGTTTTCCAGTACATTATCAGGAATTAGTGAGATTGGTTATGGACTTAATTATGCTTTTCTACAAAATGTTTTTAGTCTGCTCTCAAACATTTTGAAGTGGTCGTTTATTATAGTTACCAAATTGTATGAAAGCACATTGCCCTCGTCTCATAAGGGTCACAGGTGGAATGTAGCAGGGCTGAAATGAAGGGTAATGGAAAAATCCACTACTTGTGTTTGCTACTTAAATGTCATGGCTGGGTAAATGGATTTCTCTACTTCCTAGGACTCGGCTTCTACTACATTAGTCTGGCAGCAATTAGAGAGGAGAGGTTGCTCTGCAAATTGGCTTGGCGAACCATGTAGTTCATCTTTTTATTGTGCAAAACAGAAAAAATTGCTTCTAATCAATCCACTTCAACTTTTAGTCTAAAAATTATTTGCTATCCCATCAGCTGAAAGTACCAAAGAAATGTTCTATTTGAATTAACTGAAAGGAAGAGGTATTTGTATCAATAAACTGATTGATATTATGGAGGCACAATGTTACTATGGAAGCAATACAGAGACTACATTATTATTGAGGTGTCCTTGCCAAATTGATTAATGCTTTTAGGATAATTAATCTACATTTCAAATATAATTGGACTCTTATTAACTAAATCAGAAACATACCACTTCATGACTGTAATTCTCAAAAGGATAGGTTTTCCAAATAGAACGTTATTAATTTTGAACTTCTTGTAATCTTTGATTTGATTCACATGGTTTGATCAATCCCTCTGGTTTGTATCTGATTTAGGATGTAAGATTTGAGGTGTTTAGATGAAAGTTTATTATTTTTTTAAAGCATAAATTAATAGAACTGACATATGAAACAGGGAAGTTTTACTAATTTCTACTTTGCTCATTAGCACAGATGATGACTTTAAAAAGTGAGTGAATTAATAGAATAGACATTATGATTGCTGTATGTATATAGGGGACTCTATTGACCAGTGTGATTCTGCAATCTGTACAATTGGAAAAATGAGAAATTATACCCCAATGATTCAAATGTATGAATTGCCAAGATCATTGTAATGTCATGTGTAGCTAATAAAAAATAAATAAAATTTTTTAAAAAATTAAGCAAGGTAAAAAAAAGTGAGTGAATTAATTATATTTCTAGTGTAATAATGAATTTGAGATAGTACAAATTACAAGAGTGGATTCTTTTAAGTTATGCCTTAACATAGGAAGCTTCACTAAGGGAAAAACCTAGAAACAGCATCCAGGGCTGTTCTGAAGGAGAAAGGATGAGCAGAGAGGGAGTCTAATAGAAAGCGGTTTATGAGATTCAGGCAGTTGCTGGTGATAGTAGCACATGTGTGTAATCCCAGTGATTTGAGAGGCTGAGGCAAGAGGATTGCAAATTAGAGAACAACCTTGGCAATTTAGTAAGTCTTCCTCAGCAAGTTGGTGAGACCTTCAGCAACCTGGCAAGATTCAGTCTCAAAATTAGAAAAAAAAAATTTTTTTTAAAGGGCTAGGGATGTAGCTCAATGCTAAAACACCACTAGGTTTAGAACCTTGTATAAAAAGAGAGAGACAGAGAAGGGCAGGGGAGGAAGATAGATATTGATATCCAGACTGTCTGTGCTAGGAGTTAGGGTTCTGTAGGCTGAGAAACCCTGGTTTCATTTGGGAAAGGAAACTTTCCTTACTGCTCCAAAAGAGGTGAATATTGTTTGCTTCTTAAAAATAACATGATTTTTTTTATATAGCAGGAGTCCAAATTTCTGAACAAAAAAACTTAGTAGAAAAGAATAGAACGTGTGTTGAATCCCATTTTTTTTTCCTAATAAAGTTCTAATTCTTCTCATTGGCAAAACCCTAGTCATCTAAATTTAAACAAACAAAAAACCAAAAACCAAACAAACAAACAAACAAACCCTAAAAAACCCCATCCTCTCTTCAAGAAAAAACTCACCCCTTTTTAAATGAATGTTGATACACAATAGGGTATTAGGCAATATCTGCAGACAATATCATGTCTTATTTGATGTAGAGGTTTAAATTCTAGGCTCCTGCTTCAAAAGAAGCCCTTTAACCTTTGTAAAAAATAAAATAAAATAGAACTCCACTCTAGAGGCCTTCCCTTTTGTACTCTCTCCCAATTCCAAACTGGCTGCTTATGCCCTGGCTTCCGCCTACAGAGAGAGGAAGGGGCAGCTGGCTTTTGCTTTGATTTGCATTTACTCTCCATTACGGTTCTCAGGTCCCCTCTCATTACCAGGGCCACATATGTTGTTAACACTCATAAAGCTTCCTACCTCTTGCAAGTTAAAAGGGCTTAACTGAAGTGTATTTAGTGCATATGGTGTGTGTGAGATTGTCTGAACCACAGCATCCTATTGCAATAGTCCTCTTCTCTAGAAGGGCCTCATTAGAAAATGGAAGGGCTAGTATTCAGGAAGAGGAGAGGAAGAAAGGATAAGAGAAAGACTTCCACATACAATGCTTTATACAGACTTAGGGCTCTTGGGTAACCCCATCCTTATCGATGTGTTGGGAGGACTGTCTAGAGGGCTTTTTACATGGTAGTAAAAAGCTTTAAATGCTTATTAGACCTGCATGTTGGCTTCCAGGCTGTTCCTGTTTTCAAAAGTTGTTTATATCATCGGAGTTTAGTTCCAAGTCACAACCTTTTAGAGTCTTTGTTCCCTGATTGCAAAGATGAGAATGCTGGCTAAGTGGATGACTTTCTCAGGTCCCTTTCAGTGCTAACATTTGAAATAATCCTGCACATGTCCTGTCCCCCATCCACATATCAAGCATATTCCAGAAAACACAATGTATGAATAATCAGGAATAAAAAGAAGATTCCCAATTCACATGGAACACATAGTGGTATCTTTTTCTTTAACATTATCTGCCCCTGTATAACAAAGTTCAAATTTTATTTGCATTCAAGTCAGGCCTGCAAAAGACCTGGTTAGCTCTCATTAAACATTTCAAACACAAGCATCCCCCAGGGCAAGGATGTTTGCCCATGTTCATAAACAAAATCAGTTTTTCAGTGAACAGAAATGACTGTTTGTTCTCATATCCTTGCTCAAATGTTTTGTTTGCTGAGAAGTCAGGGTTATGGGAGGTTTTGTGGGAAAATGCACAAAATGTAAAACAAGAAAATTTGTACAATTTATTTTCTTTTTCTTCTCCTTTTGTAGATTTCTTTCTTTCTTTTTCTTCCTCTGTCCTGCCAAAGTGTCTCTAACAGCAAAAGCTTAGACTCCTGTATAGATCAGAGGCTTGGGGCAGATCGTTTTTAAAAAGAGCAGTAGTATTTGCTTTGGGAATTAACACTTCCCCTGTACCTCCGCCTCTTGGCAAAGGTTACTTTATTTTGTTTTACTGTGGGGTTAATAAAAACATCAAAACTGTTACCAAAACTATTCTCCTGCTTCTCGGGGATGAAGCTAGGTGATGAAAGAAGGCAAATAGTTGATTCTACATTACAGATGACCACAGAGCACAGAGCTAGCCGCCTGGAGCAAATGGATGGTGTCCTTGGCCAGTGAGATTTTCAAACTTTTGCTTAGATACGGAAGCGCTTCAAACTGGGAAACAGAAGTTCACTTTGGTTCCCCAGTCGCCCCGCAAACGGCGCTAGGGCTGTGGAAACCGAGCGAGCCACAGAGAGGCCACGCACGTTCTGTGAGCTTGGAGACCCAGGGACCCTGGAAATCCCTGGGATTATGCCGTGCAGTTTCGTGTTCTTGAGGACAAGGCGACGTCTGAGTCACATAGTTGGAACTTTTATTTTCTTTTCATTTCCGTAGTGAAGTCGACGTGCCTGTTCTTCTGGGCACACATGTGGGTTTCTCTGGGCAGTTCCCGGGGTTGGCGCTTTCCTTTGGGGATGTTTAACTACCAAAGCCCAGATCGAGAAGAGCTCCAGGAACGGCATTCACGACATTCACGACCCTGCGGACTCTAGCCTCCATCCCCGCCCCCTATTCTTTTAAATGTTAGAGACAATGGGGAACGATGAAGGGTTGAGAAGGTTCTCTTTCCTGCAGGCGCAGTCCTGGCGGCGGGGCGCGCCTTTTGAGAGAGACCGCCCTGCCACCAGGCAGCAGCGGAGGAGGAGAACAGAGCACCCAGTTTCTTTCGAGGCTAAAAACAAACAACAAACAAGATTATATGTATCGAGAAAGGTGTTGTTGCGTTTAGGAGTCTAAGAGAATGAGGACGGACAAGTGGTGACGACTTAAGATTTTTGGATAAATTACTTTCTCCTGTCTCTTCAGAAAGCAGATTCAGAGACCTCTCCTTGTTGTTCTGTCGATACTTTCAATTTTAGACTTTTTGAGTGTAGTTCAAGAAGACGGATATCTTCTTAAATCACATGCATGCTCGCACAAACCCACACATAAAAAGTTTAAGTATGTAAATTATATGGGATACTAAATTCAATTTTAAAAATATGGTAACAGTTTTCAAGTTTCAGGATGGCAGCCTTTGCAGGATTTTAACCTAATATTTAACCAAACAAAATTCTGTGATGTTCTTGGAGGTAGTTTATACTGTTGAAAAAAATTCATGTTCCCATTTGTTAGGTGATTTCTGTGTTTATGAACTAGCTTAATGCTAAAGAAGGAGAATTTTGGTTTGTTTAAATAGTATTACAGTGGTAGAGAGCTTGCCCAGTGCACATGAGACTCTCAGCACTGCAAAACTAAGTAAAAATTGATTTTTAAAAAGTCAAATATGTTTTAATAAGTAGCATCACATTGTTATATCATTTGCTTGGAATCAAATAAAATTTGAATTATATACATCCTGCACACACATATAAATATAGATGAATAAATAGTCTTAGAATTCTAGAATATTAGGGCTAGCCATGTCCTTTATACCTGCAGCCTAATTCATTCACTTGACAGATGGACTGACTTCACAATGCAATTCTTTGTCTCCTTTTCAAGAAGTAGTGTCTTTCTGTTGCTGCTGCAGTGAGGTGTTTTCTAAGAATTATTTTATGCCAATTCACTTTCATGACATGCCAGCAACATAAAGTGATTTGGCAACTTCAAGTCAAGCTTTTTAAGCATTTAGAATTAACTTTGATTTCCACATTCCTGCTTTCTAAAGAAACACATCTTGGATTTAGAATTAGCTTACAGGCAGAATAAACCAAACAGGTGAAAGCAAATTCTCCTATCTAAAGGTTCTTTTATTCCTCGTCTTGAATTCTGCTTATCAATGAAAAGGATATGCTGGTGTCTGGTCAGCTGCAGCCTTCTTCCAGTGATCTGGGAGGCATTTTAGAATGCATGAGTTTGTCTTGGTGGTGATGGAAAGGGACTGTTTAGTGAGGAGAAATCCACAGAGAGCAAAAAGATTTTCTGAGAAGGCTTTTTTCATTTCTGTGCAATTGTTTAGGGACAATGTCCATTTCTGCCAGGGGACCATGAAGAGCTGTTTTAGGAGGGGACTCCGACGCACACACTTGTCACATTTCTTAGACATTATGAAGATGTAGGAATGCTGATATTTATACACACATGGAGGATAAATGGTGAGCACTCAATATTCTTAAATATGATTAAGTTTTAAAATACTTTTCCGATCCTTTTGTTTACCATTTATACTTGTGGATAAAGCTGTGCTCTTGTCAAATAGCATCCCTTTCCTGTACAATTCCTGCATCTGGCTAACCACATTGATAGGAATGATAGTGGTCCAACTTATTACGGATCTATTTTGTTCCAGACCCAGACCTAAGTACTTTACATGCATTATTTCATTTAACATTAAAGACAATCCTCTGGGGTAGGTATTTTAATTTACAAATGCACAAATTGAGGCTCAGAAAGGTGACATAAATTGCGCAGGATCATACGGTAATAAGAAATAATATTCAGAATTAAACTTAAATCTGACTCCAGAAACTGAGTTCTTAATCTTTGATAAATGACTTGATTCATTTATCAAGTGCAGTTTTCATTTAACTGACCAATAGTTTCTGTTTCTCAATTGTGTTGGAACACAATTTCTTCTTTATTTTGATATAGTTCTAACGTATGAGGGAAACAATTTATTTCCATAACAATAGATATTTGTTTAATACTTAATTTCTAAAGCTGTCTTACACTTTTTCTCATTAATTCTAATGTTCATCCTGTAAGGCAGTATGTGGAAAGATGATCTCTATACCACCAGCATCAGATTTAGAATTTGCTGGTGTGCTAGACTTATAAACTTCTAGAACCCTCTGTGAACTAGATAAAATTCTGGGCAGTCAAATGGGACCTGAGAAAATCTCTCTCTCTCTCTCTCTTTCTTGCCCTAAAGACTGAGCCCAGGGGTGATTTACCACTGAGCTACATTTCCAGTCCTTATTATTTTGTATTTTGAGGCAGGGCCTACTTAGTTGCTGAGGCTCTCACTTAATTGCTGAGGCTGGCCTTGAACTTGTGATCCTCTTGTCTTGGCCTCGCAGGTTGCTGGAATTAAAAGGTGCACCACTGTGCCTAGCTTTTAAAAGCTTATTCTAGAAATAAAGAAAAGAAGAAATCTACTACTATATTTCTACTTATTCACAGCTTTATAGAAAAAATCCTGTGATTAGTCTTACAGATGTTGAGAAAGCATATTTAAATATACCATCCCATTTGAAATAAAGGCCTTTAATTAACTGAATTCAGGGCAAAACTCAACATCACAGTTAAAGGGGAAACACAGGATGATAACAGTGCTGCTTCACCACAATGATAATTTTTAATTTTTTAAACTTATGAATCGCTTATTCCTAGAATATTCCATTTTATATTTTTGGACCATGGTTGATTGTGGGTAACTTAAACTGAGGAAAACAAAGCCATGGGAAAAGGGGAACTAGTATACAGTGGATCAAACCTGTGACTTAATCCAGTTGGTCTACATTTGAGAAACTGCCTTTAAATAAGCTCTCAGGTTTATGAATAAATTAGAAAGAGAAACATAAATCTTGGAATCTAACCTTTTCATCCCCATTTTAGCTCTTTTTAACTGTCTGATTTTAGGCAAGTGTTTGTAGGGTTGTAGTGAAGATTAAACTACTGCTGATAGTGTGTATAAAAACAGCAATGTTTGAGAACACTAGTGATGCTAAAAGCTAAGGTTTTTTTGAATACTTTCTATGTGCCACAGGGACATTGTATAAACTCTGCATGTGTAAATTCACTGTAGGTTTACAGCAGCCTTGTAAGGAAAAACTGTAGTCATTTCCAATTTATAAAGAGGAAAATAAATAAATTGGGCTGGGGATGTAGCTTGGTGGTAGAATGATAGAATGTATCTGGGTTCAATCCCCAGAACTGCCAGAAAAAAGGAAAAAGAAAAAAAGAAAGAAAAACAAACAAACATCCAACACCCCCAAAACCCCAAACATCCAATTTCCAAAAAGGAGGCTGGAGCATAGTGAATGAGCCCCAGGATTTGGTGTCAGTCCCCAGTTTCATACCTGGCTGTTTTTCATAACAGGTATCGACAGACTGTTAATCCTTTTTAGACTATGTGATAACAACAATAAAAATTAATTTAAAAAATAAAACACTGGGTAGAAAACAATGAGACCCAGAATATGTAAGTACTATATTATAAATTTCTCTTTGAAATTATTTAGTCCAATAGCAGATATGTGTGTTTGGTAGAACATGAGATCTGTTTGGGTTCTCTGATGGCTTCAGGGCTACTCAGAATGTAATTCTCTGACTTGTAGCATTAGGATCATCTGGAAGTTTGTTAGAAAGGCAAATTCTTAGGCCCTATGCTGGATCAATGGATCAGAATCTCTGGGCATGAGCTCAGCTATCAGGTGAAACTAGGCAACCCAAGGTTGAGACCAACTTGAACTTATTTTACTTTTTTAGGGTTTATGAAAGTGCCCAAAATGTTGACAGGTGTTCATTCCTTGGTGATTTATTTGGAACTATGGTTTGTTTTCTTGGGAGAGAGGGTGTTTATTCAGGGGGTTTTCTGTTCTGGGCACTGCTAGGTATTGGATATATAGATATAAATCACACATGGCATTGGTGCCAGTAAGGTGGTAGTCTAATGAGAAGGAAAAGGTGGGCACATCAGACTAGAATACTGTGCAGGCTGGGTTATGAGGGAGAATGCATGAAGCACCACTGCTTGCTCCCGCTGGAGCTGAGATCAAGCAGAGAGGCTGTCAGCCAAATGAGATCAGTTTTGAAGGAGAAAGAGGTTTGCCTTAGCCAGAGAGGATGGTTAACAAAATTCAGACTTATTGCAAAATTCAGACTTGCTTCATTTAAGGGTGGAATAATGAGTTATGAAGAGTTAGTTTGTCTTCAAAATAAGATCTTGTGAGGGTACTACTTATTAGTGACTACAGATAATTCTACATATGTATATGGAATCTAGATGAAGTGGATATTTCAGAGCATAGAAAAATACCTAACCTATACCAAATGGCAAGTTAGATCAGGTAGAGGAAGACTTCCTGGAGGAGTAAGTCAGAAGGGTATGAATCAAGTAGATAAAAGGTTTTCCAGACAGAATGGATAGCTGAGTCCACAAACAGCATATAAAAAAGGTAGTACTTCCCAACTTTTAGAAGTGATGGCTCCGGAAAAAAAAGGGGCAACAATTGTGAGGCACCTTGGGGCTAATGACAGCTGTTCACAGCCAGAGCCAGTCTAAGCTATTCTTGGGCACTGAGGTGGAAGTGGAAGGGGTTCAGTGTTTTTTGAGGCTGCAATCTATCGGTGACACAGATTGGTTCATTCTACTTTAGGGGGCATTAGCCATTCACAATGACTGGAGTGCACAGGAAGAAGAGGGAAATTAAATTTGGAGAGATAAGAGTGGGAAAAGTGGCAGATGTCATTTCCTGAGGAATTATTTTAATCAAATGAGATAACTACCTGGGCATGGTGTTCTACCTGTAGACCCAGCTACTTGAGAGGCTGAGATGGGAGGATCAATTTAGACCACAGTTTGAGACCATCCTGGAAAGCACAGTGAGACCTTGTCTCAACAACAACAAAAGATTAAAATAAAAATAATAAAATGAGAGCTGCCATTTCAAATGAAATGAAATACATTTATTATATTTATTAAAATTTCTGTTTGCAATCAAATCAAAGGTCTCGCACATGCTAAGCCAAATGCTTGCCCACCAAGATATAGTCCCAATCTGGAAAATGTGTTTTGTTTTGTTTTTAAGCCGGTGTTTCTGCAAAGCATTGTGAGGCAGCTGGCTTCTTCTCTAGCAGGTAAGGTGCTGAAAAAAATTTCTTGTGGGTCCTTTGAGTGTGTCAGGGAAAGAGGTTTTACTGTCACTTTGGGAGAGGAGATTGTGTGTTGCTGCAATCAGAGGGAGAGAATTCAATTGAATGAGTGCCAGAAATCCTTGTTTGCTTGAAGGGAAACAGCTTCACTATTCATTTTCTTCTGTGCGAAATGAGAAATGTCGAGCCTGCAACATTGAAAAAACCTTTAATCAAACTCATTTGGACTTTAATTTTAAGAATCACACTTTCCTGGAAATAGAATTGGTATAGTTTAAATATAAATCTCATCTGAAAGTTATTTCACAAGAACTGTGAAGCTTAAATATTTCCATCCATTTCCTATACCTGTCTCTTTTCTCAGATTAGACCTTTTAGCCAGGTTATACAATGGCTATATTTATGCACATGGAAGCACAGTCTCCATCTACCCCCAAAAGAAAACTAGTGCTTTATTTATAGGACAGTTTAAAGATCTTAATTGACTTTTTATTTTGTGATTCTAGAATCAGGCAAAGACTTTACTCAATAAAATAGAATAATTTTTTTGATGAATTGAGCAGAAGAGATTGGCTTTGTAGACAGAAGGGCTGCAGAAATCGAAAATAAGAAAAAAGGGCAGAGGGGTCATTCCAAAATTAATTTCCTTGTAAGGTGAAGCCAGAACAATAGAGAAATGGCTGGTTGACATCAAGTTACTTTTTAAAAAAATTTGTTCTAATTAGTTATACATGATAGTAGAATGCATTTTGACACACCATACATAAATGGAATGTAATTTCCCATTCTTCTGACTGTACATGATGTAGAATCACACTGGTTGTGTAGTCATATATGTACTTAGGGTAATAATGTCAGATTCATTCTATTATCATTTCTACCCCTATACTCCCTTCACTCCTTCTACCAAATCCAAAGAACTCCATTCTTCCTTAGCTACCCCTGCTCGTTGTGAGTTAGCATCCACATATCAGAGAAAATATTCAGCCTTTGATTTTTTGGGATTGGCTTATTTTGCTTAACATGATATTCTCCAGCTCCATCAATTTACCAGCAAATGCCATAATTTCATTCTTCTTTAAGGCTGAGTAATATTCCATTGTGTATATATATACCACATTTTCTTTGTCCATTCATCTGTTGAAGGACACCTAGGTTTGTGCCATAATTTAGCTATTGTGAGTTGAGCTGCTATAAACATTGATGTAGCTGCATCACTGTGGTATGCTTATTTTAAGTCCTTTGAATATAAACTTAGGAGTGGGATAACTGGGTCAAATGGTGGTTCCAATCCAGGTTTTCTGAGGAATCTCCATACTGCTTTCCATAATGTTTGCACTCAATATATGAGTGTACCTTTTCCCCCACATCCTCACCAACATTTATTGTTGCTTGTATTTTGATATTTGCCATTCTGTCTGGAGTGAGATTAAACCTTAGAGTGGTTTTAATTTGCATTCCTCTAATTGCTAGAAATGTCGAACCTTTTTTTTTAATATATTTATTGGTCAATTGTATTTCTTCTTCTGTGAAGTGTCTGTTCAGTTCCTTAGCCCACTTATTGATTGGGTTATTTGTTTATTTTATTTTATTGTGTTTTTTGAGTTCTTTGTATGTCCTGGAGATTAATGCTGTATCTAATGTGCATGTAGTAAAGATTTTCTCCCATTCTGTAGGCTCTCTCTTCATGTTATTGATAGTTTCCTTTGATGCAAAGAAGCTTTTTAGTTTAAATCTATCTCATTTTTTCTTTTTTTATTTCTTGTGCTTTAGGAGTCAGATTCATTCTATTATCCTTTCTACCCCTATACCCACTTCATTCCCCTCTACCAAGCCAGAGTAACTCTATTCTTCTCTAGCCACCTCCACCCATTGTGAGTTAGCATCCAAATATCGGATAAAACATTCGGTTAATGAAGTCAGATCCTAAGCTGACATGGTGAAGATCTGGGTCTACTTTTTCTTCTGTTAGGCTCAAGGTCTGTGTTCTAGTGCCTAAGTCTTTGATCCACTTTGAGTTGCATTTCATGCAGAGTGAGAGATAGAGGTTTAATTACATTTTGTTACATGCGAATTTCCAATGTTACTAGCACTAATTGTTGAATAAGCTGTTTTTTCTCCAATGTATATTTTTGGCGCCTTTGTCTAGTATGAGATAACTGTCTATGTGGGTTTGTCTCTGTTTCTTTTATTCTGTGCCATTGATTTACATGTCTGCTTTGATGCCAATATCATGCTGTTTTTGTTACTATGATTCTGTAGTATAGTTTAAGGTCTGGTGTTGTGATGCCTCCTGCTTCACTCTTCTTGCTAAGAATTGCTTTGGCTATTCTGGGCTTCTTATTTTTCCAGATGAATTTCATGATTGTTTTTTCTAGTTCTATGAAGAATGTCATTGGGATTTTAATAGGAATTGCATTAAACCTGTATAATGCTTTTGATAGTATGGTCATTTTGACAATACTAATTCTGTCTATCCAGGAGCATGAAGATAGAAATTTTCATCTTCTGGGCTGGGATTGTGGCTCAGCAGTAGAGCACGGGCGGGACGTCCCCCGGGTTGTATCCTCAGCACCCATAAAAATAAAGGCATTGTGTTGTGTCCATCTACACCTAAAAAAAAAAAAAAAAGAATGGATTCAGATACAACTAAGAACTGCTTTACTAAGTGCTGGGGCAAGTCATTAAAAAAAAAAAGAAAAAGAAATTTTCATCTTCTAAGATCTTCTTCAATCTTTTTCTTTAGTGTTCTGTAGTTTTCATTGTAGAGATCTTTCATCTCTTTTGTTAGATTGATTCTCAAGTATTTTATTTTTATTTTTTTGAGGCTATTGTGAATGGGGTAGTTTCCCTAATTTCTCTTTTAGTAGATTCATAACTGATATACAGGAATGCATTTGATTTATGGGTATTGATTTTTATATCCTGCTACTTTGCTGAATTCATTTATTACTTCTAGAAGATTTCTGGTCAATTTTTTTTTTTGGATCTTCTAAATATAGAATCATGTCGTCAGCAAATAGTGATAGTTTGAAATTTTTTTTCCTAATTATATCTCTTTAATTTCTTTCATCTGTCTAATTGCTCTGGCTAGAATTTCAAGGATGATGTTGAATAGAAGTGGTGAAAGAGGGCATCCTGTCTTGTTCCAGTTTTTAGAGGGAATGGTTACAAGTTTCTCCATTTAGAATGATGTTGACCTTGTGTTTAGCATAGATAGCTTTTACAATATTGAGATATATTCCCATTATCCCTAGTTTTTCTAGTGTTTTGGAACATGAAAGGTGCTGTATTTTGTCAAATGCTTTTTCTGCATCTATTGACATTATCATATAATTTTTGTTGTTTAGTCTATTGTTGTGGTGAATTACATTTATTGATTTCTGTATGTTGAACCAAACCTGCATCCCTGAGATGAACCCCACTTGATAGTTGTACACTATCTTTTTAGTATGTTTTTGTATGTGATTTGCCAGATTTTATTTAGAATTTTTGCATCTACGTTCATCAGGGATATTGGTCTGAAGTTTTTTTCTTTGATGTGTCTTTGTCATGGAATAATTTGAGAAGTATTGATGTTAATTCTTCTTTGAAGGTCTTGTAGAACTCGACCGAGAGGGTGGAAGCTTCTAGAATTGTTTTAATTTCTTGCCATCAAGTTAGTCTATAAATGGTAAAGTTTGATTTTTAGGTAACTCCCTTCCCTTTTTCAATTTAAATCTAGTAATTGGTATCAGATTAAAATTTCTTCTGAAGAATTCAGAACAAAGGCTTCATGTTTATAAGTTCAAGTTTGGTGAGAAGGGGTAGAAAGACCAAATGGAGAGGATGTGATTTGTATCAATAAGCTTCTTTTTAAAAAATTGTGGTAAAAATATATGTAACAAAATTGATCATCTTAAGTGTGTAAGTGTATGGTTTAGTAGTAAGTATATTAACATCACTATGTAATCAATCTCCAAAATTGCTAAATCACATGGCAAAGGGAAGAGTAAAGTATTTGCAGTTTACCACATCATGCTAGAATTTTGGCAGGAATAGTAGAGATGAAAATTTACCAGATGATTACTAGGGTTCTTATAATATGATGGTTGGTTTATTAATCCTGTATTGTAGAGTAGCTTGAAAGATTTTCTGCCATTCTGTAGGCTCTCTCTTTATGCTCTTGTTTCCTTTGATATGCAGAAGCTTTTTAATTTGATGGCATCCCATTTATTGATTCTTGGTTTTATTTCTTTTTTCTTTTTTCAGAGAGAGAGAGAGAGAGAGAGAGAGAGAGAGAGAGAGAGAGAATTTTAATATTTATATTTTAGTTCTCAGCGGACACAACATCTTTGTTTATATGTGGTGCTGAGGATCGAACCCGGGCCACATGCATGCGCTACCGCTTGAGCCACATCCCGAGCCCCTTGGTTTTATTTCTTGAGCTTTAAGGGTCTTGTTGAGGAAGTCAGTGCCAGGGAAGGTTTATTTTAGCTCGTGGTTTCAGTTTCAGTCCTTGGTTGCATGGTCCTGTGATTTGGGGGCTTATGGGTAGGCAGAATATCATGGCAGAAGCAAGTGCTGGAGGAAAACTGCCAAACTCATGGCAGCCAAGAAGCAGAGAGAGCTCACCAAGCTCCCCCCAAACCCATTCTGCTATGAATCCATCACTGAATTAACCCATTGATGAGGTTCAGAGCCCTTAATATCTAATCACCTCAAAGGCCCAACTTCTGAACGCGGCTGCAGTGGAGATCAAACCTTCATCATACGAGTGTTTGGGGGACATTTCAGATCCAAACCATAACACACATCATGATGAAATTGTTCCTGGTTCTTGGAGACTGTTCTCTTAGCTCTTAGCTAACTCTTGCCGTCTTGCCATGTCTTGTGGATTTTGGTATACTCTAGCTCTGTCTATTGATTTTCTAACGTGCTGTGTCCCTGGGAGTTGATCTTGCCTTTTTAAGCTTCAGAAAGCCCCCTCCCTGCACCTCTTTCAGACTCCGAGCTTCAACATACACCTTTTTCAGGGATCCCCAGGAGGTTTCTCACACTCTCGGAGTTCCTTTCCTCAGCCCACAACACCACTTCCCTAGGCCTCTCTTAAATGCATAAAATTAAATTTATGTGACTCTTAGAATCTGACTCCTTTGGATGGACATGTCCCTGTGAGACGTTTAATGTTGACATAGCTGTTTGCCCCAGTGTATTTTTGGGGGGGCGGGTGGCAGGAGCTAAAGGGAGGGCAAGACTCTTATACCCGGCTTCTTTGTTTTTCTCTGTCCATTTAAAATTTTCCATTAATGGTGTAAATATGATAATTTTTTGTTGTGTCCCAAAATGCAAGAACTCAACCCAAACTAACCACCAACAAAAATTTTCTGGCTGTGGGAGAGCTGATTTAATAATTATTTCTTTTGTCTTTTTAAAAATATGTACACCTATTCTACAGATCAGACTCCTGTTATATTTCTTGTTAGTTCCTCTGTTCCTGCAGGTCATTGTGAGTCTTTCCCCACTATTTCAACTTCAGGGCCTTCTCTAGAGCCATAATTTAATTTCCGATTGTATTGTGCTTGCCGGACTTGAACTTTGGGGAATGGAGACATTGGATTCAGTGCTGGTCCCAGAGGCCCCAGAACTTGTTTTCTTGACTGGTCCCTGATGTCAACCAGCCTTGTGGTCATTTGCTGCCTACTCAGGAGGTAGAGGGAGGCACGCACAGCTGTGGACTCCTGGGCCGAGTAGTGTGCCTGCCATTCTAGCAAATTAATTAGCCAGGCCAAGGCAGAAGCCGTTTTCCCCCTGAGTGGTATCTTACCTCTCAAAACTTATTATCTTCCCAGGTGTACTCAGTGACTCATGACTGATCAGCATCATACAAAACATTATTTTTTTCTGTCTACACTGACACAATGCATGCTTCCTGATTCTAGTTTACACTTCTGTTACATGCACACCTAATATCATTCAGTCCATTGCCAATTCTTATACAGACTAAAAGTGTGGAGGATCATAAGTCACACTTGAATTTACATATTTTCTTAACAACACAGTGTTATTTGGGCTTGCAAAGAATATTAGAGGAAAGTAAAGTATTATTTTTTTAAGATGATAACAATTTTTAAAATTTTATTCTTAATATTATTTTTGATTGAAAAATTATAAATGTCTACATTTATGGAGTAAAAAGTGATGTTTTGATGAATATGCACAATGTGGCACTATTCAGCCACATTTTTTAATTTATTTTTTTTTATTTTTTAATGTGGCCAGTCCTATTTAATTTTATCTTAATTGTTCTTTTTAATTATACAGGAAGTAGAATGAATCCATTTTGACATAATTATAAAAGCATGGAATATATTTTGTTCTAATTCAGGCCCAGTACCTCTCCTTCCCTTTTCCTCTCCCACCCCCATTTCTTTCCCTCTATTGATCTTTCTGCCATTTACTCATATTTTTTTTAAATTTTTAATTTCTTTTTAATTTTTAGGTGTAGATGGACACAATATCTTTATTTATTTATGTGGTGCTGAGGATAGAACCCAGTGCCCCACCAGGCAAGTGCTCTACCACTAAGCCTCAACCCCAGCCTCCTTGGTATTTTTTTAAATTAATTTCTTATGGATGTACATGATGATGAGATTCACTGTGGTGTATTCATATATGTATATAGGAAAGTTATGTCAGATTCGTTCACTGTCTTTCCTTTTCTTATCATCCTTCCCTTTCCTTCATTCCCCTTTAACATATTCCCATTTAACTTTTCTGTTATTTTTTTCTGGTGAAATATTTGAAATTTACTCAGTTATTTTGAAATATAAAAATATTATTATTTAAATAATAGCAACTTAATGCTTTGCTCAAAACACAATAGAGATTTACAAAGCAGCTGAAAGAAATTGATACAATACATCACAAAGATCTCCAGGTAATTAACAAAATGTGAGCCACAGAGTAGGTATGTCAAGCCTTTTTTTTTTTTTTTTGGCCAACAATTTGGAAAAAGTTTCAAGCTTGTAGGGTTAGATATATTGTAGCCCATTTTTCTCTTTTTGTCTGGACTGATTTTCTCCCTAAGAGTATTGTATTTGTCAACCGTATTCTGCAGATTCACTCTCTGCCCTCTCTTAATTTCTGTGCTGTTAAACAGTTTGCAAGGACTTCCTTTTTAAGTACCTTGTTGTGAAGCTACTTCCATGATTTCTAGGTCTTGTTGCCCATACTCTCATCTTAGGAACTCACTTTCCTTCTTTTCTGTTTGGTTTTTCTCAGCTCCCATTGCTTATTCAACTGAGGCTGGCTGTACCCAGAACAGAAGCACTTAGCAAGTTGATGATTAATTTTGCTAAAGGTAATGAATGAATGCTGTCTTTCTTAAGGCTGCAGTCTTTCTTAGTCTACCCGAGTCTTTCTCTGGTTTATTTACCCCTGCAATGGGAGTCAGTTACTAGCTTGTTTAAACAAAAATATGAGATGCCTTTGATAAAAATTTGTCAAAATTTTGAAGACACTATAAGTTTATAGGAGACAATATATGTTGTAGTTTTGTATTAATTTTTTATTTCTTAAACATTTGACAGTTACTTTTTTTTGTGGTACTAGTTAAGCCCAGGGGCACTTAACTACTGAGCCCCAATCTCCACATTTCTACCTCCTTTTTATTTTCTATTTTGAGACAGCAAATGACATGATTTTATTCTTCCGTATGGCTGAGTAGAACTCCATTGTGTATATATACCATATTCCTTCATCCATTTATTTGGGGATAAAATTTTAACATGCATTTTGACCAGGGCATTCAAACCAAAGCAGGGCTTATTGTCTGGAATAGCATGCTATGCAGCTGAGTGCTGCCTGTCTGATCATCAGGGACAGAATGACAGTGACCAAAACTCAAGTTGCTCTTGGCTTCATAGCAGTGACCAAGTCAGGCTCATATTTTAAAAGTGACCTTGGTGGATTTATGACTGATAGTTTTCCTTTTCTTTCTCCTCCTCCTTTCCCCCTTCCCTTTCTCTTTATGTTGACACAGGGGTACTTTACCATTGAGCTACATCCTTAGAGCTTTTTCTTTTTTATTTTGAGACAAGGTCTCACTAAGTTGCCCAAGGTATTGGAGTGTTTAGCTGCCCAGTTTAGTATTCCTGTTTCTTGGACATCCTAAACTTCTAACAGACAACTTTAAGTGGGAGGCATGTTTACAGCACAAACTGGTGACCCACAAGCCAAATCTGTTATAACTTTTTTTTTTTTTTTACCCAGATGATATTTTCACAGATTTTCAATTTGAGCACATTGAGATGAAATGTGTACTTTCTGGTTTGGCGTAGTTGCCACCACTACCTATTGTCTTACAATATACTAGGTCCTGCTCATTTATATGACCTGCCTGGTTCCTAAATGCTTTTAGCCTGCTACCCCTGTTAAATTGTCCCCTGGCCAAGGGACTTTGCTTCAACAAAGACACACAATTTTTTTTTAAAGCTTTTGTTGTTTATTGTATGTGCATCACTGAATACTGTTATCTATATTTAGTATTTTAGATATTTGAAGCATTTAGAATACTGCTACCAATACAAATTTTATTGTAGTCAGCAGGAAAAGGATTTTTAACTCCCCAGTTTCTTCTTTTATCTTGGAAATAGTTTTTGGTATTATAGTTCACACATTGGTTATTCTTGGCTTTGGGTATAGACATATGCTATCTAAAATGCTAGCCACTACTCAGATGTGACTCTTGAGTATGTAATGTGGCTTGTCTGAGTTGAGATGAGCTGTGAGGATAAAATACACCCAGGGTTTCAAACAGTACAAAAGTGATGCGAGATATCTCATTTTTTTTTTTAGACATCTCGTTTATATTATATTTAAATACTTCTGAGATCGAGTTAAGTAAAATAGATAATTAAGGTTAATTGCAATTGTATTTTTATTGACAGTGCTGGTCTAGAAGTTGACGAAAATGAATAACTAATTTTAATATATTCACATTTATTATGTTCTTGATACCATGTGTTTAGTTCATTTATAATCCTTCTATAAAACCAATAATGAACAATTGCATCAGTTCCTGAAACAGGCCTCTTTCTGGGGTATAGCAAGTTATAGATGAGTGGTCATGCTGACAGGGAAGAAGTTTGCTAGAAAGATTTTACATTCAGGCAACAATTTGAACATAATATTCCAGAAGAGCTTCATGTTGGAGATTAGTTGTTGCTTTGGTATGGCACATGATTTATCACCTCTGCCACACATATTTCTCTATTAGGCAGCTGCTTGGCTTGTTTAATGTTCTTACTAACACACACACACACACACCCACACACACACACAAAACTGTTCTCTTGACAACTAACATGAAAGTTTTAAGTTTTCTTAGGGGAACTCTTAGGAGTTCTCTTGGCATCTAATGTGAAAATTCCTTTGCAGTGGAAAGTGACTTTAATATTCTTTTAAAACTTTAGAGCCTGTTAGAGATCATTCATGGACTATTTCTGTGTATTGGTTGCTTCTGTTAGAATCAGGGCTAATGATACAAAGTTAATGTGCACATCAAAGGAGTGCTTTTTAATCAGTATGATTCCTAAACTGGCATTTTTATGGTTTAGAAATTAAAGAGACAGGAAAGTTATGAAATTGGTATCTATATTTGTCTGTTTTTCATTACTATAATGAAATACATGAGGCAGGCTAATTTCACAAATTAAAGAGGCTTATTTAGCTCACAGTTTTGGAGGTTTAAAGTTCAGGATCAGGTAATCCCATTGATTTGGGCTCTGCTGAGGGCTTAATGGTAACAGCATCATGGTGGGATCATGTGTATGGTGGGAAGCCAAAGAGTGATTAGTGACTCACGGGTTGGGCTTGCCCTTAAAACAACTTGGCTTCAGGAAACCAGCATTCCCTTTGAAGGGCTGGGCCCTCAGTTAATACTTCACACTAGGTCTCACCTTTTAGTTTTTACCACTTCACATTGTCCCAAGGGGACCAGGCCTCTAACATATGAACTGTGGGGGACAAATCACATTTAAGCCACAGCTATATAGGAGAATGCATGAAAGTGTAGGAGGCAGATGAACATTGGGTAGAGACGATGAGTTGGAGGGAGATGAGTGTTGTATGTCACATGTTAATTTTGCCGTCCACCATCTGTGACATTGAGTACACTCTCTGTGTATCGGTTGCTTCTGTTAAAAGCAGGGCTAATGATACTTTTCGTATTACAAAGTTAATGTACACATCAAAGGAGTGCTTTTTAATCTGTGTGATTCCTAAACTAGCATTTTTATAGGGAGTATAAGCTTTTATTTCATAATTATTATCATCAACAAATATTTATTAATTTTTTATTTCAAATAACATTTATTGATCTTTTTTGAAGTATGCTTTTAAAAATATTTATATATGACAGCAGAATGCATTACAAGTCTTATTACACATATAGAGCACAAGTTTTCATATCTCTGGTTGTATACAAAGTATATCATCAACAAATATTTAAATACTGATTATATGCAAGTTACTGCCCCAATGGATAGTGTTCTGATTTGGAACAAACTACACAGAAAACCACGTTCGTCAATGAATTTGGACTTGTATCTCCTGTGACCTTCATCATCACAGAGAAGAAATTTGTGTTACATATGTTTCATTTCACTGTACAGTTAACCCAAAATTCACAGATTTAAAATTTAACACAGATTTAATCTTGATACATTTAACCTTGATCTTTGTTCGCCATGCCCAATAGATAGGTTATTTAACATTTTTTTTTCTGCTGAAGATAAACATTACAATTAAATTATGCTCTGTTTATCGATGGCACTAGAATGTCCAGTTCTCAGGGACTGAGTGTACTTCACTGAAGACATCTAGAGCTGATTACTATACATAAATTCCTCTTTACACTCTTTTTGAGTAAACAAGTTTTAGCTCTTCCAGTACTCGGTGTCACCAGAAGTAAGCTTTCATTATTTCAAAAAATCACATTTCTAAAAAAAATTTAAGGAAAAAGCATCAGGAGGGGAGAAATGAAGCACAGGAGAAAAAATGTCATCGGTGTTGACTGCTGTGGTTTTTGTTTCTTTACCTTTCATTTTAATGGGCAGCTTTTTATTTCAGTCTCATCTGCTACTGAGCCAGAGCATAAATCTTGGTGAGTGGAAAGAAGATGGCTAAAAGAGAGAAGACAGGAAGTAAGCTCCATTAAGAAATAGGAAGGAACAGAAAAGAGAAATCACCACAGATAGGGCCATGCAAAGCCAGAGGGAGGGATTAGTGTGGTAAACTGAGGACTATTCCTCTCCACCAAACTTTGTGCCCACTTCTACATGAGGCCTCAAGCTCAGCCTGTTAAAAAGGATAGACTCTAGGCACTCACGAGTTCATTCCTGCCTTCTCCCACAATAAAAGACTTAAACACTAACCCTATTTTTAACCATTCAAGGTAACATCCCTAGGTGATCTTAATTCCCCTTAACTCTCTCAGAGTGCCTACTGGGAAAGCTCAAGGCTGTCAAAAGAATATGTTTGTTCTAGTGGACACCTGACCATAAGCTCTGATTACCCTTTTCTTAGCACATCTACTAAAAAGGGCTTACAATTGTGAATGCTTCCTCTGTCCTTTGGGATGCCTGCATATCTCCTACTACTCAAGAGCATCTTTCTCAAGGACCTGAAAGGCATTCCTTTACAATGTTATCGTTTTGAAGGTTTTGAAGGACAAAACCTCTGCCTCCCAGTCCCTGTGGGAGGATGGAATCCTAACTTTGATAAATGCAAGCTAACAGACACAGCCAATCTAATCAGTGTTTACAATGAGCAACCCCGTGTAAATTTTCACTTTCCTGGCTACTGAGCCCTTGTATTCCCCTGTCTCTACTCCCTTTAAAATGCCCACTTACCTCTGTACAAATCCAAGTTGAGTTCAGTTTATGCTGGGACCCTCTTTGTTTTTGGTACTGGGGATTGAACTCAGGGGCACTCAACCACTGAGCCACATCCTCCCCAGCCCTATTTTGTATTTTATTTGGAGACAGGGCCTCACTGAGTTGCTAAGTACTTTGCTTTTGTTGAGGCTAGCTATGAACAGTGATCCTCCTGCCTCAGCCACCCAAGTTTCTGGGATTACAGGCATGTGCCACCGCACCAGGCTGGACCCCCTTCTTTAGTGAAGTATTTTACTGATTAAAATCTGTTCTTACCATTTTTGTTAGTGTCTGGCTTTGTTTAACTTGAGCAGAATACAGCCTAAAGTAACTCCCCTCAATGAGTCACAATCATGTATAATTCCTGCCCCTTGAATGTGTGGAATCTATGACTTGCTTCCAACAACAAATATGACAGTGGAAC